GGTTTCATGACCTATTGCAGTCGAAGCAACTAGCCTCTCAATGTGAGAAAGTATCTTCTTCCTTTGCCCTTCTAAGAGATCTTTCGTATAAGACTTAATATTGATCGAGACTGATGTAACCTCTCTGCAACAAGCGTTTTTCTGTTAACTTGTAATTCATTTATTAGATATCTAACATAAGCTCTCGGTGGCTACTTTCAAAATTAATTAATGCTCCTAAACCTATATTGCAGAAGTGACGCCTAGGAGGATACACCTCGATCGTTAGGATGATGTCACGTGTCCTTTTATCCAATGATAACCACTTCACCTCTTTTGCAATAAAAGCTCACGCTTAATGTTATTTGAAGGTAATACAATTATAAACTTTCAATATCATTATTGTTCAATCTTGTTTTCTCTCTACAACTCAGTACCCGTACACACGTTCGTGGCTCACATCTATTGTTCATCCTATACCTAAATATATAAATTGATTGACTAGGCCGTTGCAGTGCATGCAACCGCCTTCATTGTCGGAAGTTAAGTGCTTCTAATGGTTTGTTTAAGTGTACAAAAGTATTACATGTAGACGTGAGTGGAATCAAAATCCGTTGACCGAGTTACCAACTAGAAATCGAGGTCAACATTATTGATGTTCTATACTGTGTTGAATCTACAAACATGTCAACGTTGGCTTGTACTAACGAATGCCTATATTAATTCTTAAATATATAAAATGTGTGTGTCCATGTCATATGATTTCATTTTTTTGTATGTTGTGGACCAAGGTGCACAACATTGCATCATCTCTTATGTTAATCTTCCGCGGATGCCAAACAAATCTTTGTTTCTTCAATCAAATTATTCTTAATTTCTAGGCCATTCTTATTCTAAACAACTAATAACACATAAATAAATAAATATAGGGAAAAAAGGAAAGGAGTTATACTATTGATCCATTTGCCCAACGATTATCTTTATTTTGTATAAGAGGGCAATCTAAATTTTTGCAAATCCTAGTTCTTGTACGACTGAATTGTATACTCGTACTACGAATAATATGCACTTTTATTGTCTCGATTATTCTTTCTTTCTCGGGCACGATAAGAAAAGTGTTGAGACGTCCACAATTGGAAAAAACGTGTCTGTGAAATCATATTTTTGTTAGTGTTCTCTGTTGATATTATGACATGTTGTTTGTCGGTGACCGTTGGATGAGGATTCTAGATTCTTTTGATGGTTTAACCGTTAGTCTACTGGTCATTTTGGAGCATATCTTTGTTGGTTTTGAGAGATTTTTACTCTCCTTGTTCTCTCTCGAACTCCTCACTCGAGAAATCTTAGTTTTGTCTCTTCTACTTCATCTCTTTCTATTTTCTGGTTTTCTATGATCAAGAACTTGGTGTTCTCTGCTCTTCGTGATAAAGAAAGTGTGTAGATTTTGCTCCAGTCGTCTTTGAGAATAATAGGTAAACGTAAACATGACAATTCTATATATCGACTATTCTAGAACATGGACCAACAATTGGACTCTACAATTGATTACATTAAATTAATTAATAAACCAGAAATATAAACATAAGCCTATCGATTTATATGTCCTAAATCAAGTTCATTTTACAAATATCTCTACGCATGCTACTACTAGAATATACAGTATATGATACTTCAAGGCATATTTTGAATGTGTTAGGATTTATGTTGTATTAGCAATTCTTTAAACAAAAAGATTATTCTAAAAGAATAGGATTATCATAAAAGAGTTGTAAAAATCAAAAAGTCTTTTAGAGGGTTGTATAGAATTTGAGAACGCCAAAAAAACAATACGTTATTTGTAGTACAGTTTTGGGATGTTGTGTCCACAGGAAGATAGAAAATATTTAAAGGATAAAAAATGAGAGTCATGCTATGTGTACATAGATGTACACATATGGGTTCACATAATGTGAGTGGGGTGGGGCACATGCTACAGAATGGTGGGCCCCACCCCACTCACATTATGTGAATCTCTATGTGTATATCTATGTAAACATAGATTAATCCAAAAAATGATGTGTGTTATCACGGATGATAAGAAATATATTTGTTTGTCACGGAATCGAGATCAATTTTGAGAATGTGAAAATTAAAGTCAATGAATGAAATGGTGAAGCGTCGAGATTCTCTTAATAGGATCGGACCAATCACATCAATTATTCCAATTTTATAATACAATTAGAGGGTTTGATGCCGACACTCTAATCGAAAGATATGTCGTTTAAATCCAATTTAATTCGAACGTGATTATAATGGTTAATTTTCCTATTACAATGTTCACACTTGGTTTATCGAAATAAGATTCAAAATCCACTATATACTAAAGTATAAAGTAATAGAGAATCACACCAATAAACTTAAATAATTGAGATTAAAACTAGTAATTATTTCAACCAATCCATAGAGATAGCTTGACTAATTTTATGACCAATTTAATA